CCAAAAGCTGCACTTTGGAAAACACCCTCACGTTTCAACATTGTGAATATTGTAATAACTGTGATGCCTATCACTCAAAATTAAAAAAAAACAAGCCACCACACAATAAATCCCCACAACCCATAGCCAAGAAAGTGTCCACATGAACTAAGATATAACATCAAACTCAAAAGTCAGCCTCAAAGCTAAAGCTTAAGTTCTGTCCACATAATCCATTACAGCATCACATACAGTCATGCATCCATCACAATCTGGCTGGTAGCAGGAAGAGATAAAACTAAGGCATTCTGCAGATCTGTGTCAAAGCTCAATAAAGAGCAGATTACACCCTACACCACTGCACCAGTCTTGAAAGCCACCTTAACACACTCCTCACTGTTTCCCAAACCCCTTAGACAGGAGTCACGCTTGCCTCAAAATCCAGTGCCTGTGAGTCAGCCTGCCTGCAACAGAGAAGGCTCAGGGTTATCACTCTCTGTAACTACCTGAAAGGAGGTTGTGGCCAGATGGGGGTCGGGCTCTTCTCCCAAGGAAAAAAGTGACAGGACAGAAGAACACCACCTCAAGCTTCGCCGGGAACTCTGGGTTAGAGTTAGGGGAATTTCTTCACAGAAGGGGTGATTAGGCTTTGGAATAGACTGCCCAGGGAGGTGTTGGAATCACTGTCCCTGGAGCTGTTTAAGGAAAGACAGGACATGGCACTTAGTCCCGTGGTCTAGTTGAAAGGTGGTGTTGGGCTCGATGATTTCAGAGATCTCTTCCAACCCAATTGATTCTGTGATTCCGCGACCGAGGGACCCACCGCACTGTCCCCAGTGTCTCTGTCGCGGCCGTGTTCATTCCAAACGGTGTGCAGGCAGGCACAGACCGGGGACCTCTCCCGAGACCTCTTCCTCTTCCCAGCGCTGCATCCCCAGCCCAGCCCTTCCCGTGCTCTAACAAAGCCGAGGAAACAGCCGCTGAGGGGCGATGCGGCCGGGAGGCAGCTGACCCCTTCCGACAGGGAGCCAAAGAGTATCTTTTAACACCTGTTCCCCGAAACAATGTCCAGGGATCTCATCCCTGCTGGCGCTGCAGCCCCTGCCCGCGGCGTCGCGCCCCGCCCGGCTCACAGAGCATGGGCCGCGGGCCCCCGAGCCGCAGTCGCCCCCAGCCCCGGCCAGCAGGGCGGGTCCCGCCGAGGAGGAGCGGCAGCACCGAGCGAGGCCCGAGGGGGGCGAGGCCGCAAGCGACCCCCGGCACCGCCAGCGACCCCCCGGCTCCTCAGGCGGCCCAGCTCGGCCCTGCCCCAGCCGTCACGTCCCCCTGGCCCCAGACTCCCGGGTGGACCCCCCGGCTCACCTGGCGGCGGCGGGAGACGATCCCAGTGGCAGCGCGGCAGGAGCGGCGGGCGCGGCACTTCCGGAGAGCGGAGCAGCCGCCGCCCCGCCGGGGAGGAAGGAAGCCGTGGGCGAGACCATCCGCGCGGGAGGGGAGGTAGCGGGGAGGCTCGTCGCTCCGTCGGCCAGGCGCCACGAGCCGGGCAGGGGAGAGGACCCGCGGCGACCCGTGTGTTTGGCGTTCCTTCCGAGCGGTCTTCGCCATCTCCGAGAGGAGAAGGTCGGAATCTCGGACCCGGCCCCTGTACGTGTCTCCCCCCTCCCCGGCGCCACGTTGGTGCAGCGCGGTGCGGTCACCGCATTCCAGGGGCGGGGGGCGGAGGGAGCGCGCTCCTGCCCTTGTAAGGCAACGGCGGGAGTTTCCTGCGCGTAGAGGGGCGGAGCCGTATCTCATCGCCCCTCCCCTTCCCCACCCCGGAGGGGTGGCCGTCGCCTCCTTTCCCGTGGGTTTGTATCCTGTCCTGTCCCCTGCCGGCGCCGCTTCGGGTTCCACCGTGAGCTGCGCGTCCCTCCCGCCTTCCAGCGCCGCGGAACTGCCGCTCGCCGGCCTCCTGCACCGCCTTCTCGAGGACCATTGTGCAATTAGGGCTGCATTGTGCATTGTGCAATTAGGGCTGCCGCTGTCTCAGCTTCCGCTTTCTGACAGGAGCAAGTCCCGTTCCCAGCACTTGTGACTGCTCGTGGCAGCGCGGTGGGGGGAGGGAGCCAGTGACACGGAATCACAGAGCCACAGAATGGGACAGGTTGGAAGGGACCACAGTGGGTCCATCCTAGAGGACATATCACAGTATTGCATCCAGTCAGTTTTTGGAGCCTCTCCAGTGAGGGAGACTCCACACCCTCCTTGGGCAATGTGTTCCAGTGCGCGGTCACCTACACAGTAAGGTTCTGCCTCATATTCAGGTGGAACTTCCTGTGCATCAGTTTCTGGCTATTACCTCTTGTCCTATTATTTGGCACGACCTGAACCCACCCTCTCGACGTCTACCTTCAGATACTGACATATGATGTACCCTCTCAGTTGTCCCTTCTCGAGGTTGAACAGGCCCAGTTCCCTCAGCCTTTCCTCGTAAGAGAGATGCTCCTTGATCATCTTTGTAGCTCTAAACAGCCCCAACATATGTAAAAGTACATGGTATGGCACTGTCCTGCAGGATGAGGAGGTGCTGTGTTGTAACAGCTGATGGAGCTGGTACGTCTGGAAGATTCACAGGATCATAGAATATCCTGAGTTGTAAGGGATCCACAGGGATCAAGAAAGCAAAACTCCTGGCCCTACACGGGACAGCCCGAAGAATCACACCATGTGCCTGAGAGCATTGTCCAAACGCTTCCTGAACTATGGCAGGCTTGGTACTGTGACCTGGGGAGCCTGTTCCAGTGCCCAACTACCCTCTGGATGAAGAACCTTTTCCTAATATCTAATATTGTTTTTAACAAGTGAATTACTTAACTGTCCTGGGTTCAGAGACAATAAGTAAGAGGAGAGACTTAGATTAGATGTTAGGAAAAAATTCTCTACTATGAGGGTGGTGAGGCACTGGAACAGGTTGCCCAGAGAAGTTGTGAATGCCCCATCCCTGGTAGTGTTTAAGGCCAGATTGGATGGGGCTTTGAGTGTCACCTGGTCTAGTGGAAGGTGCCCCTGCCCGTGGCAGAGAGGTTGGAACTAGGTGATCTTGAAGCTCCCTTTCAATCCAAACCATTCTATGACTATGATCTGGCCTGGCTTCCAAAGACAAAGGCCTTATACCAGTTTGCTGTTACCATGTTACCCTATCTTCAAATAATTTTTACCTGCCTTGCCAATACCAGCAGGGTAATCAGGCATCCAGGGGCCATGGGTATATTCAGTTCTCATAATAATAAAATTCTTTGGGTTGGAAGGGACATTTAAAGATCATCCAGTCCAACTTCTAAGAAGAGCAAGATTACTTGCTTTAGGAATTAGGAAAATTTAGGAAAATTCCTAAAAGGATTTTCCTTTTCTTAAAACAAAGATGAGGACGGTGGGCAGATGAATAGGAATATGGGATGAATAGGAACATCATCCTAAAAACAGTGACCACAGCTCAAAGATATAAAGAACATTATGTAAAAATAGACATCACTGCTGTCTATGTAGCCTAATTTATCACTTTACATCTAGTTCTATTCATATAATTTTTACAGAATTTGCAACTGTACATAAACTCAGTTTTTGAAAACAGTAAGAGGTTACCCATATTTCTGACTTTTTGGAGGGAAATAAACTTAACTGAGTGACCAGAAAGTGTAATCCCTGATGGACTTTCCTGGCTGGGGCAAAGAACACAGCTCTGAGGGAACATCTCCTCTACTCAGCACCTACAGAGTCAAAAAAAACCAATTGCAGTTTTCGCTGTCGCTGGTGCTACCAGTGGTATTTTTTACTTATAGGGAAGTGTGGTGGTTTCTGTCACATCTGCCTTTCTTTGGGGCACTGGCAGAATGCTGCAGGCTGCCCACTTGAGCTAGGTCTGTTGTATCATAACAGGCAGCACCTGACGCCAAACACATGAGTTTCTGTTGCAGAGTGGCTACAACATCAAAGCTGAGACAACCTTTGTAAGTGGTCAATAAAATTACTCGATCCCAGGTCAGGGGTAGAAGCTGGAATATTTATTGAACACGTGACATGCAATATAAGGGTCTTGGAGGCAGGACATGTTAATGAAGAGGACGGGTTATACTAACTAAGGGATGAATTATGCTAACTAGAGGATTACACAATTCTCTGCTACAGTTACACAAGTGGTTAATATTTTCCTGTAGCGAGGACCACATGGGGGGAAGAGAACAAAGGGCCTTCTACATCGTCTGACAACATCATCACAAAGTCTTTCCATGTCTTGCTGAAAGAGACAGGACAATCAAACGTAGTTAATATTAACGGGTCTTGTGATGAAGCTCCTCAGAGTAAGGAGTTTCTCCCAGCTCCCGCTGTCTACAGCCTGCTACATAATTTTATTAGTCCCTTTTCTGCTGATAGTCAAGTTTTGGATTCCAACAAACCTTTTGTCTCATGATCTGGAAATGAGTCATTCCTCATGCCTGTTCTGAATCACTTTTTTCAGTCTTTGTTTCCTATATTTCTAGAGCCAAGTACTTCCAAGACTGGAGTCAGTGGCAAAATTGATGTGTAATTTATCCAAGTTAGCCTTGATAAGAGCAGAATGGGAATATTTACCTATATTAAATGTATTTTTATCCAACAGTTAAATAAATAGGACGATGCCAATGATTTCCAAATGTTTTCTTTCAGAAATTGATACAATACTAGCTCAATGTTCATTTTTATGATCTATACTAAAATAATTTTTTAGCTTATCCAAAACTAGAGTAATGAAAATAACAAGCAAAGGCTAAGATATCAGTAAGGAATGTGTAGGAAGACCTGTCAGAATAAATCTTCATACATGGGATCTGTGCCTGAAGAGTCCTGGATATAAGTAGCTGCCAGGTTTAATATTTAACATAATGAGTAATACTTAATATATTGACTAATCACAGAGGACTTTGGCCTATACTCTAAATTACCATAGTTGACCTTTTGCATTTTTTTTCCTGTATAATTTCTTATTGGGAAAAGGTAAGCAACCTTTTATTTTGAGAAGTAGGGAGGAACCAAGAGACTCAGTAGATTTCAGGCATCTTTAAGAAATGCAGCAGTAATATTGATTCATGAAGAGCAATCCTGTTTCCAGAAAAAGATAATTAACCAGTTATAAAAAAACACGAGTTGTTTGTAACATTTTTCTTCACTAGCTCTCATTGAACTTCCTTCTGCAGTATGAAAGTGCCATGAGTTCACTTCACCTGAATCTCAGGTGAGCTAGACAACCATAAATGCTAAAGACACGATTTGGGAATGGAGACGGATTTTAAGTAAGGTAAGGAGTTTTGGAGTCTACCATCAATGGGATTTGGAAGCTTGCACACTTCTAAAACCCCTATGAGCTTCCAATATTTGGACACATAAGTAACTTTAGAATCTACCTTGGAGTGACTTACCTGCAACTTTCTCAGAGGCCAGAGATGCCTAAAGGAGGAAGTTTGCCAAGGCTGCTTTTAAATTCAGTCTTGACTGTACCTAGACTTAGGCTAGTCCTTCTGGGTTGGTGACTCCTTTGTATGCATGGATAGTCTCATGGCAGTAAATGCAGTATTAATGGAGCAACCAGGCTCCTCTCTTGCCTCGCAGGTGGTCTACCTGGCAACTCCTCTGTGGTGGCTTGTTATGGGAAGGATCTACCTTTCTGGGCTCATCTGGTCTCTGGTATTATTGTGTTTTGCATCTTCCATGTCTTTTCATGCTCCATCATTATAAGGCTTTCCACTGCTGCTTTCTCTACACTGTTTGGGAGCTTCTTCTCACACTCAGTACCTTACTCTGAATGTAGATCAGTATTTTCCACATACATAGAATAAAATTTCCCTCCATGGAAATGATAATATTGCAATGCAGGTTGGCAATGGCAGCCTGAAGTGAATTATATCTATCTACCAAGAAGAATCTGCACCCACCAAAATCCTGGCCATATGGAAGTAAAGGGCCACATGTCTTCATCAGTGTGTCTTCTGTGAGGATGCCTTTTACTGGGAGAAGGATACCTTGATGAACTTTGTACTTTAATGAAGTTCATGTGTCATACAAATTCCCAAACAACCCAATGGGACCTGGGGCATTAAAAGAAACAAAAGCAGAGCACTATTCTCAAATAATTTATTTACCTACTCTAACCGTAAGTCAAATTTAGCAATTTGTCTACTGCTTTCAATTATTTTTTTCTGGACTAAAATGATTACCAAAATAGTTAAATAATAACAATAACAAAGTATAGCAATACCAACAACAATATATAATAACAATAACAAAGTATAAAAAACCAACAACAATAATATAATACTAAACCAACAATAATAATAACAACTTAATACATTTGCAAAAAGGTTGGACATATTTTATGGAATTCAATTACATAAACAATAGTTTATTAAATAAAATAAACCAAGGAAGCCAGACTATAGTTACGTTCTGGGAATCACCACTACTGAGTCAGGAAAGAAGGAATATGACTAGTTACCAGCTCCAGCAAACAACACATGACTCCCACACTACAGTGAATAATATGAGTTTACTTAAACAGTGCAACTCCAGCTAATTCTAGCATGTGGAAGGTGGGTGCCACACCACGGGCCTGGTGGTGCAGTTCATAGGGCATTCCTAGGGTGGGAATATGTCCCTGCACCTCAATAACCTGTGAAGATGTGCCTGTAGAGAAGCCAGAGGTTCTGTTGCTTGCTCACAGTGTGCAAGCCAAGCTGCTTTAGCCTTATTGTCCCTTTGCTTCCTCCACAGCTCGGATGTCCCACTCCCAGTTGAAGTAAAGAAACAGTTTGAAAATACAAATTGTCATCAGTACGCTTGAGAACAAGGCAAACAACAGTGTTGTCTAAGCCAAGCCATCTTTCTCCTGCACCAAGAGGCCATAAGTGATAGCAGGTGAAAAAGAGAGAAATGACCAAACTGTCTGAAGCGTTAAAAGAGAGCACTTTGATGGGCTGTCCATATTGAACAACTGTGTCTGTGTACCTACTTAGCCCTCTGGTATTGCCGAAGAGCAAATAATCATAAAACGTTTAAAAATACAGTTATCTTATGGTATGCTGGATGATATCAGGTAATATATTTATCTTTTTTGCTCTTTCCAGAGACTTCTATCTGCAATTTATCACATAGGCTATGTCACTTTTTCTAGTTGTGGTCAGTACCACAGAAATGTTTTTATTTTGAGCAATGACTTTTTTCTTTTTAATCATGCAAATGAAGGTCTTTCATTTTGTACTGTTACATTATATCTGAAGTAGATTTGTCCTATTTTGTGACAAACCCTGGTTCCAATGTTGAATGCAACAAGTCAAGCCATGCACTGGGCTTTGCAAGTACTGGAAGTAAAAGGAATAGCGGCCTATAAAGTCATAGCATCATTTAGGTTGGAAAAGACCTCTAAGATTGAGTCTAGCCATTAATCCAGCACTGCCAAGTCCACAACTAAACCACATCCCTAACTTTGCCCTTTCTGTTCTGTGGGTGGGTTGTGCAATAGTTAGGGGTGCACAAACTCAATGCAGATGCTCTGTGAGCAGCTCAGATTGGGGAGCAGCCTGTCCACTGTGTGGACTCCCAGGCCTCTCTGGCTGGCAGGTGAGTCATCCCTGCTTTCTGTAGCAGCGTTCCTTCCTTTATTAAGCCCCTGTTGTAATCCTCATTCTGTAATTTATATGTGGTTTGTACTAGAAACGTTTTATTTTTTTCCAGGGTATTTCTTTCCCTGATTGCTGTGGATGCTGACTGTACTATATTTAAGATGAAATAGCTGGGACTGTGCCTTGCTCCAGGAGGAAGATGCTTACTGCTTCCTTTCTGTGCGGTACTCGCAAACCCTGGGGCAGGGAGGCTGCACACTCGGGGCCGCACGGCGGGCTGAGGGTCCATCCCCCCAGCAGCTCTCTCCTCACCCCGGCGCCAGAAACCCGCACCGGAGCCCCGCAGCCGCCTGCTTGCAGGCTCTGGGGAGGCTGTGGTTGATTTACTCCCCTAGATTTCGGAATTCTCACGTTGACCTGGACGCGCTTGTGTCGCTGCAAGGCGCTCGGAGCCGGTCCCGTATCGGCTGTCGCCAGCAAGGGGAGCTCCGCATTTGGATAGGATCCGAAAGACAGGCCAGGGACGGTACTGCCACGGCCAGGAGAGGGAGAATGCTGTAAAATGACATTAAATCGATGTGGGGCTTAATCCTGCTGTGGGCTGGAGAAAGAAGGGGAAAGATCAAACAAGTGCCGTGGGCTCCAGGGTGATATTTGGGGCACTTCTGAACTCTGCAAATCATATAATAGAATTATTGAATTATAGAATGATTTGGTTTGAAAGTACTTTTAAAGTTAGTATTCTAGTTCCAACCTTCCTACCATAGGAAGGGGCACCTCCCACCTAGACCAGGTTGCTCCAAGCCTTGTCTAGCCTGGCCTTAAACACTTCCAAAGATGGGGCATCCACAATTTCTCTGGGCAAACTGCTGCAGTGCCTCACCACCCTCACAAGAAAGAATTTCTTCCTAATATCTAGTATCTTCCTACTATCTACCCACTTTCAGTTTGAAGCTATTCCCCCGTGTCCTATCACTACATGCCCTGACAAAAATTTCCTCTCCAGCTCTCCCCTTTAGGTACTGCTATAGATCTCCTCAGAGCCTTGTCTTCTCTAGGCTGAACGGCCCCAACTCTCTCAGCTTGTCTTCACCGGAGGAGTACTCCTGCCCTCTGATTATTTTCTGAAGTCCTCTGAACCTGTTCCAACATGTCCGTGTCTCTCCTGTGCTGAGGACCCTACAGCAGTGCCTGGAGCAAGCATGTGCCTGCCTGTAGTGAGGGAAATTGCTGGACATTTTACAAAGTGAGGGTCTACCTTGCTATAGTAGCCCCTCTTTGCTCTTCTTCACTGCTGTTAATCACTCTTCCCCAATCACCAGAAACTTAAGAGAAGTGTCTTCAAGCTCTGATTGCTCCAGAAGCTTTCCTGTGAGCTGTGTGTATCACAGCTGTTAAAGCTTTATGAAACTTGACATCAAAGTTTCCCCTATGATGAAACCCTGAGCAGTCTCTCTGGTTTTGGTACAGGCTGGGAATCAGTGTGATCATTTTACAGAAAGCTCAAATATTTTTTTCTTGGATGGAAAACATTTTGTTTTACAGTATTGCAGTCACAGTTAAAGATGTAATAACAAGTACAGCATCATAGCAATCAACAACACCCATAGTAAGTATGTTTTCAGTTTGTATAAAAAAATTAGTCTCCTTGTTTTCAGCATATGTACCTGTGTGAGTGTGATGAGCCAGAGCTGACCTACCACTCGAATGAAGTTTGAAAACCTTCCTCTGAATCTGGGTTGAATTTAGAACAGATAAGAAGGAAATTTTGAATAAATATTAGTTGAATAAAATAATCAAGAGCTTGGAAAGTATATGAAAACAAGTATTCTAGAGTAGGCCAGGAGCTGGAAAAAATGAGACTTGGAGTAAGTTTGGAAATTATACCCAGCTTCACAAAGCTCTGGGTACACCTTCCTCCTCTAGCCATGCTTCCTTGTTCAAGTCTGTCTGGATAGCCCACAGGAACATGTTATTTTTGCTGTTAAGGTTAAGAACATGTTCTCTCTTTTGTGTAACACAGGGAAAGTAATGAGGACTTAATGAGGACTGTGAAAAATTAATGAAAGGCATAAATGCTTTTAAAATCAAATACTTCAAAATTTTTCCTATCTATAAGACAATCCCATTATCTGAACATTATCTAGGTGGTCTGCTTGCACACAGAACTTCACTGACTCCCTGTTGCCAGCTATGGAAGGAAATATGATTTTAATCTCATAATAAGATGGGAAGACATCTCAAAAGCCCTTGTTTAGAGAAAGAGCTTTTGTGCTTTTTAAAATGAAATCTCACACTAAAAAGAAAAGTGTTAAGTCTTTGGCCATTTTACACATGAAAGCAGCTTTGAGGCCAGAAACCAGGCATGTGTGAAATGGTATGTGTAACTTGACTCAACTTCTGTAACTGGGGATAAGAGAGACCATAATCATTTTCCAAATGCTCCACCCAAAACTGTAATCTGACCCATGTCTCTGGAATGATAGTAGTGAACAGGATCTGATTGCAAATGATAGGGGAAATTGAAAAAATTGGTTTGCCGTCCCTCTAGATACTTGCACTTTAAAGGTAGTCTTCTTGTGAGTGTCTCATATTGGAGTATAGCTGCTGATGGACCATTCTCCCCTGCAGCTGCACCGCAGAAAGGCTTCCTTGGGGTATCTAAAAGATGTAATGAAATCTTTTTTTCCCCCTTTTCCTCCCCTTGTGTCAATTTTAAGGAAGGAAAAGGACAAGGTCCCACTTTTCCAGCTGGGAGTTTTGAAGCCCTTGTCCAGCCCTTCTCCCACCAGATTCTGCTTGTCCAACCCTCCCTGCTTTCTGTAGAGCCACTGTAGAGGGGGACATGGGACTCTGGCTTCCTTGCTGCAGGTTGAGTTTCCCAGTGCTCCTGTACCCTCCTGGAAGGGTACCCTATTGCTAGGGTAGGAAGCCAATCAACAAGGCCAGATGCTGCTCCCTTGAGCTTTTCCAGTGGGCAGACTTCTTCCCCTCTTCATTAGCAACCCAGCAGAAAGAAAAAATAAATAATTGCTCCACCAGGAATTTCTGGAAGTGAACAGCAGCTGCTGTTGACCCTCTAGCAGTCATTACACAGCTGCACTTAGTCGAGAGTCCCTGCTGGCATTAGCAGAGGGAAGGGACATATTCCCGCTCTATTTATTCTACCAGCTAGTGTAACAGTCCCTAGAGAGCTGGAACGAAAGAGTGAGAATTTACACAGATGCAGGTGGGTAAGGAGAAAATCAGCCCTGCTTCAGGAAGCTGCTAACAGCTTTTTCAGGATTGTTCTCAGGCGTGCTTACAGCTGTGGGCTGAGGATTCATCTGTCTGCCCATCAGGGCTGTTGGAACGACACACACCCTTTCACTCTGGATCCCAAAATGCAGGACTTTTTCATGGATGGGAAATGTAAAGTACTGTGGCACACTTAATAAGAAAGCATTTTTTTTTAATGCAGGCAAAATGAGTGAAATCTGATATCAGTTGTAAAAATGTCCACTGTGTATTTTATTCTAATGACACTTTCAGACCTCCAGAAGTAATGACAAATACATGTATCAAAAATGTCAAGGTGTCTCTGACTGGCTTGATGAAAACTGTTTCTTTGTCATATATAGATAAATATGATAAAATGCTGGCAAAAATCTTTTAGGTTGATATGTTTCTGGTTCCAAAATATCACCATTTCCCCCCAGTATTGATTTATCACAAAGGTTTTTCACAAAATCCTGTTGGAATCTGAAACTTTCAAGAAGTTCAGCCTCTGCAAGCTAAGTAACCTAAAATTTCAAATCGTAAAATGACAGAATGTGAAAATATGCTTGAACTATTCAATTTGATCTCTCCCATATAGATAACTTTAATTTTCATTGGGCTTTGGCCAGAGGAAAAGTAATGTTTAAATAAATCTTTTTTTTTGCAAAAGAAACGTGGATTAACTTCAATGAACTGCCAGGAGATTATAAATGGTCATCAGATGTGCTCAAATTTGGACCACCTCGTAGAAAATAAGACCCATCTAGCTGACAAATGCTTCCCCTCTGTTTTTGCATGTCACTATAAATAGTAAACAAAGATAAGTCTCATATTTTCCACTGTACACATTTAGTCCTTGGATTGGTATCAGCTTTATAAGACAGTGAATCACATGAGCTACAGGCTCCATATGCATTTAACTTTATCTAATAACTTTGAGTATTGTGGATCCATATTGCTGTTTTAATTATTCCTACGAAGATTATGCTGTTATCTATAGGAATGTTTCTAATTAGTCCAAAGAATATGTGTCTATAGAGATAATAATTTTGGAGGCTATCTCCCTTGCTCTATATTTCTCTTGGTAAAGACTAGGAATCATTTCCATTGGGGTTAGCAGTGTAATAGGCCATGCAGAGTAATACCTCTTGTGAAAAAGAGATTGTATTGCCATTATGATAGTAGGCATTTTAGGATCATGTACTGTGTATGCCTATCCATAAAAAGTACAGCCCTCTGTGTGTAGTTCTCTAAATAACTCATCTAGCCCAGTTTAACACATGGGGAATGAATGCTGGAGGAACCATGCTTATAAGCAGTTCAGAAGCAGAAAACACCTGAGCAAAAGAGACTTTTCTGCTCTGTTGTCGGTTTGCTACCAGCAACAGTGACATCAGGTAGTAAGGACATATGCTGACAATGATTTTTATAATACATTTACCAGAATAATTCAGAGACTTGCGGAAAGATAAAACCTTAGATGCTGGTATCACTGCATCTTCTTGAACTGGAGCAGCTAATGTTAATCACAGAATTATTTGTATTTGAGGACTCTAGAACAAAAGATATTCTGTGACAAAAGAACACAATTATTAGTACCAGATCCCAGGTTTCCAATGGCTGCCACACTGCCCATGTAGCACTAGATGAGCAGGAGAAACCCAAGCAAAATAGGATCACCAGACTTTCAGTTACTGCAGAGAATTAGGTTGCAACATCTGCCTTGGTCAGCAAAGTCAATATTGGCATTACGTAGGGGTGGTACCTGCTCTACTGAGCAAACTCTGAGAGAAACCATTTTCAGAATAAGACATAAGGATGCAGCAGCAAATTGATTGTGAGTCAAAAGCTTTAAATACTAAATAATTTGCTAATGTGCTTTGGAAACAGATCTCCATTCAGTTGTGCTACAGGGAAAGGAGAGGCCAATTACAAAAGAAAATACAGAGGCAATTATGCCTCAGGATTTTAATGTTTGGAAATTTGATTAGATGACTAGAGTCTGAAACACATTTCCAGTACTATATTCTCTGTTCAGTCTTGCACATATTTATTTGGTTCTTATGTTGAATCTCTGTGTTGCTCCACCTCCATGGGCAGACTGAAAAGCTGGAGATCACAGTGTAAAAAAGGCAGGGAAAGTATAACCCAACTGTGCTCAGCTGGGACAATGGTGAATGAATCTTTAATTTCCCATGAACTCTAAGTCCACTGTTATTAAAAGATGGCTATTAATTGAGTGTATGTGCAGCTTACCCAATGAGTGCTGTTCACAAACTCCCTGAGTGCTACATCTTGAGTAGTAATGCCCAAATGTGTAGTCTTTCTTCCTCAAAGTGTTTTGGAATTCTCAAGATGTGTTTTTCCCAGATAATCACTTTTCTTAAGCAAAATTATTTCAATTCCAAATTCAGTTTGACATTAAAAGCTTGTTTTAAGAACTTGTGCTGGGAAGGGACTGAAACCAAACAGCTTTGTGAATTGCACAGCTGGTTTCTGTTTGCTCATTACTTTAAAATTATTTTCAGTGAAATGATATTATGCTTGTATCTGACACTTGAAAAGAAAAACTAAAAGAACATTGCCATGTTTGCTAGATATTGTGAATATCAATATTGCTTTCAGCAGTTTTCACTGATCTATGCAAATAATCATGTGGTTGTTTAGCTAGTCTGAGTTTACATTCAGAATACTGATCTATTAGTTATACACATAATTTGGAGATGCAGTGCTCTGAAAATTAATGTAATTCAGCAATTTCAGAGAGCTGATTCAAATTTTAAAATGCCTATTGTTGCCACAGCTCCATGTTCTCACAGCCTTCAATATTTGTACAGCTCAGTGCTTTCAGTGTTAAATAAGGCAAATACAGATTGCTTGTCTCTAACATTGACAGCTGTTATGAATGGCTTGCTCTTGCCATTGTCCAGCATGAAGAAGTTAATCTTCCTTCATATGGGTCATTAAACTGCTCCACTTCAGCTTCTGTGGATTCGCATATAGCTCTTTCATAACCTATGGAAACATGACTTCCTTCTTCTCAGGTTCACATCCTTTGTTTGAACATGTAGCTGAAAACTTAGTCATGTTCCTGGACATCATATGCTTGCTAATGTTAAATGTTGTGAACCTTCAGCAATGCAGCACCAATCCTTTCTTCAGCTATGTCCAGAGATCATTCACATGTCAAGGTTTGACTTTTTAGGAAATGTCTCCCCTCGAGTGTCAGCATTCAACTGACTGCAGGGTAATTTGTTCTCGTCAGAAGTTTTATCCAGCTGCATCCCCAAATGCTCCCAGTTCAACTATTCAAGCTCCACCCCTGATTTTCCAGTATAAGGCAAAGTTTGGAAAGCAAAAGATAGGGGCATGGGATGGGAG